ATATCGCGCGAATTATGCGCTCACGAGCCTTTCGGCGATGTTGTTTAAGAGCGGCGAGTCTTGTACGTATAATCTGACATTTGTACAAAATGATTTCTATCGAATTTGTATAAGTGTGTGTATGTATGTGTCAAAAATATTAATAAATTTAAAATGATCTCATACCTATTCCCTTTAATGCATATTGATGATAAATTTGAAACTGTTGATTATATTACTAAAGTATTACGAATCTTATTGAATGATTAAGACATACGAAAAGATATCTATAGTCACAAAATTCAACGAGCAATGTGTGCGTATCATGATTGATAAATTTCAAATTAAATTAACTATCGCAACCCACACACACATACGTGAAAGACAAAAATGTTTAAAAGAAATCCTAAATATAATGATCACTTTTCAAAACAGAAGAAGAAATCTCGATAAAGAAGCATAAGTTAACGCCACTTTTCCAAGATAGAACAAACTTATCGAAATAACAGAATCTCATATGGAATTGAAATTTCCGCAATTGCGAATCACTTGACAAATATTTCAGTAATTTTCTGTCACAAAACGGATGGGCAGCACTCGGAGTTGTTGCATCACACTAACTCGCTTTTTATCGTCGGGAAAGATGGAGATCCCCGCGACATCGATATCGTTATCTTGATTTATCGTCAATAACTTGACATGACGATGATGACATCGTTATAAGACAAACGGCCATCATCGCATCCTCCGTCGTCACCACAAATACCATTCCAAAATCGAAGACGTTCGATTTCTGATGATCAGCACACGCACGCACAAAATATCGAGAGACAGCTTAGTTCTCAGAGTTGCAGTTTAAAGCGGCTACGACTACTACGCTGCACAATGTCTGTGCACGTCGACAAATTTGACGTTGCGTTCGCGGAAAATCAGCATCGTAAGAACAGACGAACGAACGAAGGGGTGAGATAAGGTGAAGTTGAAGGGCGAAAGAGAGAATGCGCGGACGAGAGGGAGACTTCCTACGTGTCGGCATTTCGCGATGCACTTGCGAAGAAGGAAGGCGCTCACACACGAGCAGCAACGCCCTCTTAAAGAAAGCGCGAAGACAAGGGGGAGGGCGAAAGCCAGACGCGGAGAGGGAGAGTTTGCGCGCGATTGTGTGTAGACCGCGGTGTTAACAAACGGTACACTAATGTTTCACATCTCGGTTCTGCACCTCTCCCTCCCCCTCCTTGTCGTCCAACCCACCGGCCCTTTGTCGTTCTTCCTCGCTCCTGGTCGCTCCGGGTCCCGAGTCCGTCGCGTCGTCGGCTCGATCTCGCTCCCTCGTCGACGAGCACCTCCGTCGCTCTGCCGGCGAGTGAGAGCGCGAGGTAGCAGCTCGGCGTGCCGTGCACGTACGGTCGGGAGGTGACGACAAGAAGAGAGAGGCGACGGCGTTACGAGTTTCAGTGGTAGTCACTCTCGCCGTGCTACAACACAACCACCCGTCGAGGGGGAAAAGAGAGGCGAGGACGAAGGAGACCGGAGGAGGCGGGGCGAGGTTAGTCCGCGCCCACGGAGGGGAAAAAAGCCGCGCTCCGCACCCACCATGGCAACGTTAGAGGGGAAGCGAAAGAAGTGTGGAAGGGGACAATTTATCCGACGTCTCTCACCCGCCGCGCCGGCTCACCAATACACTGACATTCGGCCGGCGCACGTGTGTGCGTGCGCGCGCTCGCCGCCAAGATATATCCGGTTGCCACCAGGTGAGCATGTGTGCGTAGATCGCGCGCACGATCGTCGATCAGTTGGCGGAAAATACATCGGTGCATCTCTTTTTCTCATCCAGGTGCGTTTTTCCGCCCTTTCCCCCCGACCCCTTTGGGAAAGACCCCCCACTAGCGTGGACAATGGGATATACTTCCTCGATCCGCCACCTTCAACCGCCCCTATCCGCCCATTTCGACGGCGGTCTCGCCAGGAGGGTGACAAGTACGCGCGAGGAGGAGAGTTTCTTCGAAAGAACTGCGCAAAACATCCTCGCGAGACGACCCTCGACCGAGATCCCTATCGCCGTCGCCGCAATTGTCACACGCTGGCGACCGTTCAAACTTACTATCATAAGGTGCACAATTATCTTTCGTTTGAATAGCCAAAATTTGACTAAATAGCGGAAGTATTGTTAAAAAAATACTCGTCCTTTCGCTGATCGATCCAAGTAGAAATAGTGACGCAAAACTGCAGAAACCCGTAACAAAACCTAACAGACTCTGACGAGATGATTGACGCTCGGGACGCGTGCGAGGAAACGTTCGTGCGACATTGTTACGTTAAACTGTCGGAACGAGCGTAGTACGCGGCGTAAACGCGTTCGTGTAATACGCTCGCTGGAGTGACGATCGTGCATTTCGCGCGATGTAAATGGGCGCGAGAGAGACAGACGAGGTGGGAACGAGACCGTGAACAACACAGGTGGAAATGAGAGAGACGGACGGACGAGAGAAGAGAGGAGGCGAGAGAAAGAGACGGGAATGTAGAGACACCGATGAGGAAAGAGAAAGACGCGAGTTGGCGTAGTCAAGTGTCGCGTAGTGCGTGGAATAAGGAGGAGTGCGCGGTATCGGAGCTAACGCCGAGCACGAAGCAGGAAGGGGCACGAAGTAGTCGGCGATCTTGTCCTAGCGTGAAGGAGGAGGAGGAGGAGGAGAAGAAAGAGGTAGCGGTTAAAAAGAAAAAGAAAGAAGAGGACAACGGTGGGGTACGATGGTGGGAGACACGGGTCGGAGTGTGCGGTCGTGTCCGAGGTGGAGAAGGAGGAGGAGGAAGTGGTGGAGAATCAGTCGGCGGGAGAGAGGGCAACGAACAAACTACCGGGAAGAAGTCAGCGGCAAGTAAAGCAGCGCCGCCGAGGCTAAACTTCGGGATCTATCGAACTAAAATTGTCGTGTAGTTTCTGCCTCCGTGCCTCCCAACCCACCTACCCCCCCGTGATTTCCCCCTTCGCGTTCGCCCTCTCTGCCAACCGCTCACTCTTCTCGCCCCACCACATATCGGAGCGTGGCAGCATCTCGGCCGGTCGCGTCCCCCGACCGTCTCATTCAACCCATCCCCTCCATGCGAACGAAAGCCGAGAACGAAGAGGGAAGAAAGCGACTACGGTGGGGCATCACGAGCGAGGGCGAGCTATTCCGGCCGTCGCGCGAACGAGCGAGAGGCGAAAAACTGAAAGAGGAAAGGACGGAAGAGACCCCGACTCGCCCGTGTGGTGAGGGGGAGGGGAGAACGCAGGGAGAGAACGCGAGCGCCCCACGGGCGACTCACCATATTTTATTGTCGCGTTTGCCGACGCTAACCGCCGAGGCCCCGTTCGACGAGGAGAGACACGTAGGGGAATGCCTACGACGGGTATCCGCGCGGGAAGAGAAGAGTGCCACGCACGACGACACATGGCGCGCTAATACGAGAGAAGCTACGCGTCGCGTACGAATTCGCGCGCGCGCCCGCGCGCGCGGGGGGTACGACAGGAGATTGTCGGCGACCGTCGAGAGAGCGTGTGGCAGAGGTGGTGCCCGTACCCCCACCAAACCGCCCGCCACGTCGACCTGGACCCTCCCACCCGTCTCGCCGACGGCAAACCATCTCGCAAAAATCGTCCCCCTTTCCGCGGAAGGAAAAGAACCACGGCGACGACTCTGCCACCACCAACTACCACCACCACCGTCAGTGGCGAGAGAGAGTTCTCTCGTCGGAGCCGTTTCTCTCGTCATCGGGCCACCACCACTAGCGCGATACTATCGTTACTCTACCCGCCAGCGCCATCGGCACTGTGTACCCGTCGCCTCCTCCTACGACACGGCAATCAACCGTCATCTCGCGGAATCTCGCGGGTAACTTGCAGGGGGCCACGTCGTGTTCTTCCGCGAGCGAGGGGGACACGCGTCGGGAAACGAAACGGGCAGTGCTCATCGCATTTGGGTGAATGTGGAGCAAAGTTATTTTCTCCAGTGACAGTCGTGTCCAAGTGCACGTCGAGATAACGGATAAAAAACGCTCGATTGGATTTTGGTACAGTTGGGCATCGCTTGGAGAAAAGGAGGGGACTTACAGACAAGGAGTGAGAGAGAAAGAGAGAGAGAGAGAGAAAGAGAACGAGATAGAAAGGAAGGGGACAATAAGAGACGAAACGGGTATAACACACACAGGGTCTGGTCCCTGTAGGCTTTTGCGTCGGGAGCTACCAGCCAGCGTGTTGCACGAGGCAAACACGCACCGCCGTCAGTTCGTACTTGGCGCTTTCGCGGAGCGCGCGCGATCGGTAGCGCCACGACAGGAGCCGCGGCAAATCGGCAGGTACGCGCATCGGGCGCGGCGAGAGGAAGAGAAGAGAAAGCTAACATAAGAATAAGAAGCAAGCCCGCGCGCGCGCGCCGCTCTTTCGCGAATTCCGAGCGCGTGATTGCGCAGGCCGTCGGGCGACCGGCTGCGTGGAAGGACCGGCTGCGAGGGGATAAAAAGAGACGGCCGGTGCGCGCGTGATTCAGCGTCGTCCTCGCCGCCACTCTCCCATTCTCCTTCTCTCTCTCTCTCTCTCTTTCTCTCGCTCTCCTCCTCCGCTCATTCCTCTCCTTTTTCAGCGGTGTCCCTCCGACACCCTCGCGCTCAACCTACCTACCGCTCTATTTCTCTATCTTTCTCCCTCTCATTCCCCCCTCCCTTCTCTCGCCTCCCCGTCCCACGCTCCCTCTATCCCGTCTACCCTTCTCGCTCCCACCCGCCACGGCCGTCTCGCTCGCACTCGCGTACCTCCGCCTTCCTATCCGCCAAGCGGAGGACTGGATTCCGTCGAAAAGAAACGACGATTCGGAGGATAGTCGCGACCGATCATAGCTGGCGCGTCGATCGGATCAACCGAAGTGAACTAGCCGCCGCGACTAACCGCATCGCGCGCGATACACAAGTATCACAGCGTTGCGCGCTGCGCGTGCCCTCCGACCTTTGCTTTTTTTTGTTCCCTCCCCCTCGCTCTCCTCCTCCGCTCATTCCTCTCCTTTTTCAGCGGTGTCCCTCCGACACCCTCGCGCTCAACCTACCTACCGCTCTATTTCTCTATCTTTCTCCCTCTCATTCCCCCCTCCCTTCTCTCGCCTCCCCGTCCCACGCTCCCTCTATCCCGTCTACCCTTCTCGCTCCCACCCGCCACGGCCGTCTCGCTCGCACTCGCGTACCTCCGCCTTCCTATCCGCCAAGCGGAGGACTGGATTCCGTCGAAAAGAAACGACGATTCGGAGGATAGTCGCGACCGATCATAGCTGGCGCGTCGATCGGATCAACCGAAGTGAACTAGCCGCCGCGACTAACCGCATCGCGCGCGATACACAAGTATCACAGCGTTGCGCGCTGCGCGTGCCCTCCGACCTTTGCTTTTTTTTGTTCCCTCCCCGCGACACCGGGGGTAGCGCGACTCGTGGTGCGCGTCCGGTCGGTGGCTCGCACTCTTTCTCCGGGAGGGACCCTCGGCGCGCCGTGACCCCCTTCGACTCGACGCGAGTGTGACCTCGGAGTGCACGCGGACTGTGTCGACGTTCGGGCTTCAGTCGATCTTCTCGAGTGTGTGTTCGATACGCGTAAGCGCACCACGGAAGACTGAGAACTGCGACCGCGATCAACTTGTTCCCGATTTGTTCCCACGCGTGTTGACAGTGTCCCGAGTGTGCATATGCCGGCAACGGACCGTCAGCGATTGCGACAGGATTGCGTGCAACCGGGCACCGGGTCGCGACGACGGGACGCGCGGGAGTGTCGTCGCTGGCGCGAGTAGCACCCTCGCTGGGGGTGGCGCGTGACGGGAGAGCGCTCGCCGGTGAAGGAGAGAGCAAAAGAGTGTACGGAGGATCCGACGAAAGTGACACGGAAGCATCGGGAAGTGACGGGATTCAGCGAATGCCGCGGACTCTTGGAACGATGATCGCGTAGCGGCGCCCGACCATCACGGCCCTGAGCGGCCGACACATCATGTCACAGTTCTCTTTTCGAGGATCGCCAAATCTACAGGTGAGAGCGCTCAGCTCGATCGCGAACCGAAATCGCACGCGCGAGTAAAAAAATCGCGAGCTCGGAATGTTATAGCTTCTTCTGTCAAACTTCCATTGTCATCGTGTCGACTTTGACATTAACGTGAACACGCGACACTGATTGCGCGAAAATTCAACTAGGATCCTCGCAAGTAGGACGTGCGCATATTAAGATTTGCCGCGAGATTTCGAATGGAAAATCTTCGATTGACGCAAGTGATTCGATGATAAGATCGATGCAGTGAATCGACGATTAGGAGATGCGTAAGCGAATAGATAAATCGGGACGGTTGTAATGTCAGAGATCGCGTTGCTAACGTTAACGATTTTCATTTTCACACTTTTCGAGCCAAACCTTTTAGTTCGGCTTTATTGGTATACCGTTGTAAAAAATTACATATTTTTTACTCAACGGCCGCGCGTATTTCAAACAAGAAAAACAGAAATCAATAATTATCTGAGAAATAAATGAATTCGTCTATAAATAGTGCACTACACGAAACACGGTATATATTTGTCTGCACATTTAATGTTTCGATTTAAAAACAACGTGACATAGGAAATTGATCTTTTTTTTCGACCGCGAATTATTTATTGCGTGTTTGTATCGTTTACGCGACATGTCGTGTCATTCCTTTAATTGCACGAGATAATCAATTGAATCAGCAAAGAATCGTGTATTAGTTTAAACGCGTTCCGCATCGCGGAACTAGTTATTAGCGAATTAATTTAAATAAGCTGTTAACATCGTTAAGTATACTTGTAATTTGGCTTTTGTTCTTTCCCGATTTGTAAAACTAATACGTATCTTGTTTAGTGCATAATTAATAATAAAGAATAACGTGTAGCTCAAGCTTTCGCGGATGTCCATTTTTTGCTAGACAATTTTTTGGATATTTCTGTTTTATTTCGCGCCGAAGTGATTAAAAGTGTCCTACCAGGAATATCAAATCTGAAAAACATTGTAAATTTTTTTGTGTGCACACAAGTTACATGCGATTGACATGCGGTCGCGATATTATTTATACTCGGTTTGCAATAAATCCGTCTACGATTTGCTAAATCACATTTGTTGAGGATATATTTTATCACGCTGATAAAAAAAAGAATATATATATATATATATATATATATATTCTCTTTTTCTTGAAGTTTTTTATATTTATACAT